CATTGCGACAAGAATTTGAGGCAAATCATTTTCAAAATTTAAATCTTAATTGAAATGATCGTTGAATCTTTCAGACAAATGAATGGTGAAATAATGTGACAATTAATATGTTTATAAAATCTAATAGTAATTATCTCAATTAAGACAAATTAAATTTAGGATATAAGTTAAATAAATACTAGTATATTCCCAACAAATAACAAAAGTGATATAATGTGTTGAAATTATATAAAAGAGCTCCATTAAATGTTTTTCATGAGCAATCCCAGATGGACATGTTGAAAGTGAAGAAAATTCTATGAATAAACTAAAAAAATCTTAAAAGCAGAACTTCTCCAAGTAGATATAATTACCAAGAGTGGAATCCCCTGATAATCTTCTGAAGTCAAAAATTAGTAAAATTGCCCAATCATAACGAGGTATTAATGTACTTGTATTGCTTAGGAGTCTTCAATTTTTCAATCGGGGAGGTCAAGCAACTTATGTTCTTCATACTTCAACCAGAACCCATGAGACTTTCATTCTAAAGAAAGTTAAGCATATATAGTTCAAATTCTCTCTATATATAATCCAATTGGAGATACACAACTCTTCAAGAAAGGCCATAGTGAAATTTGCCTCACTTGAAAACTCCATCTCTAGATTCTTAAGACATTCTGCTACTATCTAAACATGGCATTTTCTAAATGCTGCCTTGTTCTATGTTTGTTCATGTCACTATCATTGTCGATCATTGATACAAGTCTAGCAGCTCGCCGCCTTTGGGACACACCGCTGGCTCCACCATCGGCGTTGACACTGCCTACAATTCTACCTCTGTCTAAGCCCACATTGCCTCCACTGCCATCATCGCCAACTTTGCCTAAACCACATTGCTACTAATGCCTTCCACTCCATTGCCAACATTTCCAACTCAACCAACTCTTCCCAAGCCCACATTGCCACATTTGCCATGCACCCAAATCCCATATTTGCCTAATCCAACATTGCCTTCCATGCCTACAATCCCAAAGGTTGCACTGTTGGAAATTACTAATTATGGGCTAACATGAATTATGTTTTGATTTAATCAAGCTGGTAAACACATAGTCCAATGAGAATTTTGATGGGCTTCATGATGTTTATTTTGAAAGCCATATACACTTCATACTTAATTAATCTGAGTTATGACTACTAGTGTGGGCTATAGGGTTTATTAGGCCTTGTTTTTTTGGGGGGGGGGGGGGGGGGGGGGGGGGGGGGGTGGGGTGGGGGGTGGGGGTTTGCGGGGGCAGCGCTATATAAATTGGCAAGTCCCCTTTCCAAATATACGATTGATTATTCCCATTAAATTATTAGTCATATTTGCACGTTCTTAGAAAGGAAGACAGGCTTCTTGATTGACAATCGATCTCCTTCAAGAATTAGAAATAATAGCAAAATTAGGTTTGTCTTATTCCTAAATATACAGTATTATAAACTAGTGAGATCTGAATGCATTGATATTCTATATTGATTTTGTAATTAACCTTATGATTCAATGCATTGATTTGTATTTTGATTTGGTGATTAATCTTTATGTAGTATCAGAGCCACACTATTAGTTTATAACTGATTTTTGAATTTATAATCGGGATCAAAATCAAAATTGATTTTAGGGTTATATTGAAAATTAGGGTTCTTGAATTAATAAGGAACCAAATTGGGGCTTTTATGTTTGAAACCATATATGGTTTTTTGGCCATTAGAATTTAGAAAGACTTTTTCTGGGCATTGAAGGGTGGAAAGACATATTTTTTTTGTTCTGGGTCGAAAAAATAGATCTGGAATTTTCCATCACAGGGGTGAAATTGTTATTTTTCCCCTTTAGGGGCTAAAAGTTTTACAAAAGGTAGGGTGTATTATAATATTTACAGAATTAGGGTTACCAACCAATTAAGTCAAACCAGGTTAACCCAACTCGGTCAAACAGGGTCAACCTGACTTGAAACGTTAATATCGAGTTAACCTAACTCAAAAAGCCAAACTGGGTCACTCAACCCGACCCCCTAAACAAGGGTCAACCCGACTCGAAAAGTCAAGCGGGTCACTTGACCCGATTATATCAAACAGGGTCAAACCGACCTGGTCAACATGGGTCAACCCAAATTGATCAACCCATATCGACTCGACCCAGTAAACTTGGATCGACCTAACCTGTTGACCACGCACGTAGGTGGACTTTCGACGTGTGATAGAGTATGACAACACGTGGATCGATACTTCGGCGCATGACAGCACGTGAAGTGGTGTTTCCCAACATGTGTTGTGCGTGATGGCGCAGGAAGAAGTTTCTTGGCACGCGAGTCTAGATCTCAGCGTGTGAGGCGGTATTCCCCTATTCCTCGGCGCATGTAGTTGAGCGTGAGCCTATTCAGGTATTGTTGGAGAAGAAATTACATCACGTTTCCCTCTATTATTGTTGATCCATCTACGTGCAACAATTATATGGAATATAATTTATAAGGAGTGATTGTTCTTTTTTGGTTGGAACAATTGTCAAATTAAGACTGTCAGAGCTAATAAGGTATTAGTCATATTTGCGCGTTCTTAGAAAGGAAGACAGGCTTCTTGATCGACAATCGATCTCCTTCAAGAATTAGAAATAATAGCAAAATTAGGTTTGTCTTATTCCTAATTTAATATCAGTATTTTATAAACTAGTGAGATCTGAATGCATTGATATTATATATTGATTTTGTAATTTAACCTTTATGATTCAATGCATTGATTTGTATTTTGATTTGGTGATTAATTCTTACATGTAGTATCAGAGCCACACATATTAGTTTATAAGATCTGATTTTTGAATTTATAATCGGGATCAAAATCAAAATTGATTTTAGGGTTCATATTGAAAATTAGGGTTCTTGAATTAATAAGGAACCCAAATTGGGGCTTTTATGTTTTGAACCCATATATGGTTTTTTTGGCCATTAGAATTTAGAAAGACTTTTTCTGGCCATTGAAGGGTGGAAAGACTATTTTTTTTTTTTTGCTGCTGGAGTCGAAAAATACAGATCTGGAATTTTCCAGATCACAGGGGTGAAATTGTTATTTTTCAAACCTTTAGGGGCTAAAAAGTTTTACAAAAGTTGAGGGTGTATTATAATATTTACAGAATTAGGGTTACCCAACCCGATTAAGTCAAACCGGGTTAACCCAACTCGGCCAAACAGGGTCAACCTGACTTGAAACGTCAATATCGAGTTAACCTAACTCGAAAAGCCAAACTGGGTCACTCAACCCAACCCCGTAAACAAGGGTCAACTCGACCTGAAAAGTCAAGCGAGTCACTTGACCCAATTATATCAAACAGGGTCAAACCGACCTGGTCAACATGGGTCAACCCAAATTGATCAACCCATATCGGCTCGACCCAGTAAACTTGGATTGACCTAACCCGTTGACCACGCGCGTAGGTGGACTTTCGATGTGTGATAGAGTATGACAACACGTGGATCGATACTCCGGCGCATGACAGCACGCGAAGTGGTGTTTCCCAACACGTGTTGTGCGTGATGGTGCAGGAAGAAGTTTCTTGGCACGCGAGTCTAGATCTCGGTTGTGAGGCGGTATTCCCCTATTCCTCGAAGCATGTAGTTGAGCGTGAGCCTATTCAGGTATTGTTGGAGAAGAAATTACATCACGTTTCCCTCTATTATTGTTAATCCATCTACGTGCAACAATTATATGGAATATAATTTATGAGGAGTGATTGTTCTTTTTTGGTTGGAACAATTGTCAAATTAAGACTGTCAGAGCTAATAAGGTATTATATCTCATGAAATCTTAATTAAGGCAATTAAAATACAATAGGATTAAAATTGAGATTGTCTGAGATAATTGGGTATCATATCTCATGAAATCTTAATCATAACTATTAAAATCCAAAAAGGTTATTGAATTAAGATTGTTAGAGATAATTAAGTGTGTATCTCAGAAATCTTAATATTTAAGGCAATATTATTTAGTATCATTAGAACAATTTTGTGAGTTGTCAGAATGTTTAATCGCCAAAGCGATGCATTCATTGAAACTTAGCTTGCAAGATTTTGCATTAGATAAATGATACATTATTTAGTTTATGTCAATATTACTCAGTATCATGAGAATAATTTTTGAGTTGTCAGAATGTTTATTCGCCAAAGCGGAGCAATCATTGAAACTTGTAAAATTATTCATTTGGAAAATGATACATTCTTCAATTTTAATGCACATAATTTCCTACCAAAGTAGGTTATTATTTTTATTAAAATTAAAAGGTTGCACGAGGTTGAATTTGGGAAATACACTAGTCCTGAAAAATTCAATACACATTTAAGTGGATGATTTTTCAATTGACATGCATTTTCCTCTTAAGTGGAGGATGACCTATGACCTAGAAAGTTTTATCTGCCCAAAAAGGGCGATAGTCTTCGGAATGTCATATGTTTTCATTAGTTATTTTTGATAACCTAATGTGTAGGGTCCTAATAGCATGTCATTTTCTTTGCCAAAGTAGAGTTAATGATGATGCACCAAGAATCCCTATAGGATGTAGCTTATTAGGTTCTAAGCTACTTTAATTATTTATTGCCTATAGATTTATACTTGGGATACTAATAGCCATGGGCATAGCCAGAAATAATGTATAGGGGGGTCAAAGTTAAAAGAACAATACAATTTTAAATTAACATAAGCATAAATTTTGTATTTATAAAATTCTCATTAATTAGTACATTTATAATTGTCCTCGACGGGATTTCATCTTTTGAAAGTATTTTATAATGACATCATTATCAATACTATCAAATACATCTTTCTCTATATACACAACTAAGCTATCATTCAACCATTGATCACTCATTCTATTTCGCAAACAATTCTTCACAAAATTCATTGTTGAAAATACTCTCTCTACACTAGCAGTGGCAACGGGTAGAATCAATGCTATTTTCATCAACAAATAAACTAATCGAAATACTCTATCCTTCTTAGTTTCAACCATCATTTTTGCCAGATCTCCAATCTGTTTCAATCCCATAAATTTTAACATTAGAGTGCATATCCAAAATGTAAACATCAAGTTGAGAATCAAGTGCCATGAGTTCTAAGTTAGAAAAATCATCAGGATAAAGTTCGGCAAGGCGTATCAAGTTCTGTTTATCAAAAGCAACAAACGATTCATTTGGACATAAACATGCCAAACAAATAAGCAATTCAGTGTTTACCTCATTGAAACGATAATTCAACTCTTAAAGCTGCATATCTAGGACATTATAAAATAATTCAATGTGGTAATGATGCACGTTTGTGATACCTTGAGCCTTACGTTGTGATCGCCCTTGAATAAAAAACTTGTCATCCATATTAGGAACATCAATATCATGATTGGCACAAAAAGAATAAACTTTGCTTAATAAAGTCTCCCATCCATTATCCCTCATCAATTGTAAAGCTTGCTTACATGCTTCAACCAAATTCATAGCATTTACAATATCTTGATCTTTTCTTTGTAGTGCTTGAGAAAGTTCATTTGTAAAGCCAAGTATATCTTTCATCAAAAATAGACTAAACACAAAGTCAAATGATTGCATCAATTTAAATATGTTTTTTGCATGAAATCTTTGCTCAGAGTTTGACCCATCTTTTGCCACAATTTCAAGAACATCGATAATGGATGAAAACATCAAGATTATGCTCATTAACGTACCATAATGCGAGCCCCAACGCATATCACTGGCACGTTGCAGATTAGTCTCTTGATTGAGAACTTTTCCACTTGAAAGTTCACCATTAGAAAGAGCTTCAATAACTTTACAAGCTTGCTTATCTCTAAGAAGATCACAACGCTTTGACGAAGCACCGACAATGTTTACCACAATCGCCACGATATTAAAAAGATCATTAACATCATCATGGTTCTTTGCCAAAGCCACAAGAGCCAACTGGAGTTGATGGGCAAAACAATGAATATAATAAGCACATCTATTCTCTTTCAAAACCAATGTCTTCAAACCATTAAATTCTCCTTGCATATTACTAGCTCCATCATAACCTTGTCCTCGTAGTCTAGAAAAACTCAACCCATGCCTTGAAAAGAAATTATCTAGTGTTGCCTTGAGTGAGAGAGTTGTGGTACTAGTAACGTGTTCAACACCTAGAAAACACTCCACAACAAGTCCATTCTTGTTAACATAACGTAAGACAATAGCCATTTTTTCCTTCCTAGAGATATCACGAGATTCATCAATCATTATAGCGAATAATGAATCTCCTAAATCTCTAATGATAACACTTACGGTTTCATTTGAAACAGCACTTACAATGTCTTTTTGAATCTCAGGTGATGTCAATTTGAGATTATCAGGAGCATTCTTGAAAGCAACAACATTGTTATCTTCATTATGATTAGAAATAAATTATAGAAGCTCGAGAAAATTCCCTTGGTTGCTTGAATCATAGGATTCATCAATACCACGAAATGCAAGTCCTTGCCTTAGAAGAAAACGAATACAATCAACTATAGCATTTAAACGAGTTTGATAATCTGTTCATGCTTGAGAAGAATGTCGATCAAAAAATGTCTGAATATGTTGGTCTTGATTCAATAATGTTTCACACATTCTTCAAGCTTGGTTATGAGCACTATTAGAACCTCCAACATGAATATTCAATTTTTCTTTCTTTTTCCAATTTGAAAACCCTTGACCACCCCCTTTATCACCATCTGGCTTAAAAAGATAGCAATAAAGACAAAACACAACATCTTTGGCTATACTATATTCCAACCATTGTTCAAATTCACTAAACCAAGAAACAACAAAATGTCTTGAAAATCCACCAAAATATCTAGCAGGAAACTCATGGCCTTTAGGTTGACAAGGACCCCTTTCCAAATATATTCTTCGAATTTGATCTTGAATATTAGGATCATAATCTAAAATTCAGGGTCTTAAGCCTGGATCTGTAGGAAGATCTCGCAATTCAACATCCACATTTTTACTTGAGTCACCAATATTTTCCTCTTGTTCAAATGATAAGATCATTGTTGACTTTCTTTTGAAATATCTCTCCATACTATTTCAAAACAATAATATATTATTACTTGATAGAGAAAAATGCAACAAAATAAGCTATGTACTCAGTAAAACCAAACAATAACAATAATCTATGTATACAATAATAATTATTAAGATAAGTGAAATTACAACTACTACAAAAATTTATAAAGCTAATAAGTTAAAGTATTCTAACAATACATACACATCACAACTCACAAGTATATCTCTTTCTTTTTCTAATTTGTAAGTACTTTAACAAAAATTAAATTAAAATAATAGAAATTGAATTGAAATAGATCTTAATGCACTATTTTTTTTAAATATATCTTACATTATATACATTGGCTAAAATTCAATTGATATGTGTAAAAAATCTATTCAAATAACCAAACACTTGTACAATTAAATCCACTTTTTCATAACACTTGTAAAACAATTAAAATTAACTCCCATTTGAATCAAACACTTATTAAAAAAAAAAAAAAAAAAGGATAAAATAATTGGTCCCAAGAATGAAGAACCCATCTTCTCCATAAAAAAAACAACACAAAATTGCAATTGGCCAACTCCAAAATCCATTTGAATCAAACACTTTTATATAACAAAGATAAAAATGGGTAAAACAATATGGTCTCAAGAACTCATCTTCTCCATATAAAAAAAAACACAAATTCAGCTATAATGGTAAAACAAGGTGGTCCCAAAGCCAACTCCAAAATTCATTTGAATCAAACACTTTTATATAACAAAGATAAAAATTAGTAAAACAATGTGGTCCCAAGAACTCATCTTCTCCATATAAAAAACAAAAAAAAGGGCAATATGGAATGGGTAAAACAATGTGGTCCCAAGGCCAACTCCAAAATAAGTTTAAAAACTATCTTCTTACTTCTTCTAACTTCAATATATCATTACAAATAAATAAAAAATGGATGCAATTTGTGGTCCCAATGACAATTTCATCTTCCTAATCCTAATCTATAATTTAATCTTAAACTTTTAAAATAAAATAATACAAACATAAAATGTATTACTTGAAAAATTGAAGAAAAAAGTGACTTGTTGGCTTGATAGGAGGAGAAAATTACACTTGTGTGGATAAAGTCTTAAAGGAAAAGAATTGGCTTTATAGGTTATTGAAGAGGAATAAGACATCTGAGGGAAGGAGAATGGTGGGTTTAATTTTAGCAGGAGAACGAAGGGTTTACTTTTAGTTTCATAGCCCCCAAAACAAGAAAGTGTAATTTATTGGGTATAAATATATAATGCAGCTTTTTGGTATTTTAATTTTATATAGGGGTACATTTGTAAAAACATAGCAAAAATTTTTAAAAGTCAGAGAGGGTCAACTGACCCTCCTTAACCCCCTTTCTCTCCGCCCCTACTAATAGCATGCCATTTTCTCTGCCCAAAATGGAGTTAATGGTGATGCACCTAGTGTCCTTATGTAAAATGGCTTATGAAGTTTAAAGTTATTTTAATTATTTATTGTCTATGAGCCTAAGATATTAATAGCATGTTATTTTCTCTGCCTAAAGGGGAGTTAATGGTGATGCATTGAGAATCCCTATGAAAAACAGCTTATAAATTTTTTTTAAAGCTATTTTCATTATTTGTTGCTTGTAATATTGAACTGTTGCATCATTTTTTTAAGTGGTGGAATCAAGATATTGAGTCAGCCCTGAGAATGTTCCATAAGTCATGTTATTGATAAGGAAATTTCATAATTCCCATGTTTTATAATTTATTATTATTATTGTTTTATATATGTGTGAATAGTTGTATATTTGTGGGAATATGATTAAAGTGAATTTATGTGTATGTTGTTAAGTACATGAATTTCATGTTTGAAGGTGTTGGTACATAATTTTGCACCAACCAGCGAGATCCGATCGACCTTGCCGAGATCGGAATCGATGTGTGCGTGATTAGTGATAATCAGCGATGAATATGAATGAAATGAACTAAAAACAAAGAGATTTTTAAAGTGGTTTGGCCAAGTTAACAACCTACATCTATTGTGTTTTTGTATTTGCTATGAGAGCTTACAATGCAATTCTTATCTGAAATTCATGACCCCCTCCTCATTGTCTGAGGGGAGTTTATATACAAGATTTGTACAAAGGAAGCAAAAAAATTCAGGGGATTAGAACTGATTTGAATCATAATTCCAATATCCTCGCGATTGGGCTTTGTGATTGTGCAGTGATCACCGTTGATCCAGTCATTCCCGTAATATCTGGGATTTGAAGTAATCTGGGGATTGATTAAATGATTCTTTGAATTGTTCGCGACTAGCTTATGCTGGGTTGAGCTATAGTTCGACAAGCTTATGCTGGGTTGATCAATCGTAGTTATCGAGCTCATTTTGAATCGAGCTATATCCTCGAGTTGGCCTGAGCTTGGCAGAAAAACCATACACAACATCTGCCCCCTAGTATTCGATTCTTGTTTCAGGCTTCGAAGACTATTGTTAGATTTGATGCCAAGCTCGGCTTCAATAGTGAGTCTCTGAGTGTGTTTTTAATCGGGCCCCCACGACGACCTTGTGCTTGGCCGATGTACTTCATACTTGGATCTTTATTCCTCATGGTACCTATCAAAACTCAGAATATGAACAGTCAGGGCATACAGGTAATTTCTGCGTAGTCGTGCCGCATTAAATGCGGCGGCCTTTGTCAATTATGTTTCATCGTGCATGGGCGACGATAGCTGTTCACGCATGAAGTCGAGGCGACGATTATCATTATAGCAATCTGACGGTTCGTCGCTCCTTACGGATGGTCGACACGTGGCCACATCTACGGGCTGAGATTGCTCGATGAATGAAGGTTCAGGATCGACTGTCAATCGACGGCCACGATTAAACCCCGCCCCTTCGTCTCCCATGTAAACCACAATAAAAGGTGGCAAAAAACCTCAAAATAGTCACTTCGAAGTCATTCTGACTCTGGTTCTCCTTTGCCGTTGTTCTTACGTCATCGCAGTGGTCTTTCTCATGAGTTCTCTACACTTTCCTTATTCCAGTAAGGCTCTTTCCCGTATTTTCTTCTGTTTTTCTGATTTTTGCATCAAATGGTGGCTACTGTGGTGGCCATATTGGATGTTTTAAGGTTTTAGTAGGGTTTTTGGTTGCGTCTCCAGCGGTCTCAAATTTTAGAGAGGTTTGATGCAGTGGTCGTCGGTATCCCGGGTAGGTCGCGTACCTTTATTGTATTGTGCGAGCTATCTCAGGTGCCTGAAATAGTAGTGAGTGTGGAATTGTTACCGATTTGTTCAAGCTCTGACACATGTTCGCTTCTTTTTTCAGGTACCCAAAAGCGAGATACAGCCATGTCTTCCTCTAGTAGACCGAATTTTATACCATAGACCGAATTTTTTATTTGCTGGTAGGCTCGACAACCCTTAGGGATGTGTCTCCCGACGTCTCTGAAGAATGTGTCGCCTGAAGCTCGGACCCTGAAGCTGCGGGCTCGTCCGATCGTGCTTCGATTTAGCTAGCTCACTCCCCGTCGTCTTTAGCCCATAGGCTACGAAGAGAACCACAATCCTCGATCACCCTCGGGGATCTTGAACGCATAAGAGCAATCTATGTGCCACAACTTAACTTGATGGTTCCACGGGGATATTCTCGGAAGAACCCCCGACATGGATGGGTAGCAACCTTTGAGACTCTCCTTAGGTGCGGGGTATCCATTCCCCTACACTACTTCATCGATAACGTGTTGAGGCGATTCGACATTGTTCCTCTTCAACTGACCGCCAATTCTTACGTGATCATTATCGCAATGTACATCGCGTACATGATCGCTGACTTGGGCGAGCCGTCCGTCGAAGAGCTCGTTCACTTGTACAGGCTCAAAAAGGGGCAAGACCAGACATACTACCTTTCTAAAGCGAGGAGAGTAAGTTTGAACGGCTAGTCGACGTCTCAAAGAAAGTTCCACACTGGGATTCACAGTTCTTTTTCTACGAAGCTCGGGAGACCGGTGTCTTTGCTACTGAAGTGAGTAAGGCTCGAGCTTCCCGTATGCGTATGAGGATTGTTATTGAGCTGCACATTCTAATTGATTGTCCTGTTTTGTTTTTGCAATTAACATCGAGAAGAATTATCTTCTAGCTTTGAGCTTTCAGAGGCTGCAATGTTTTAGCGATCTTTTGGACAATCAGCGCAATGTTAATGAGCTTCTCACGCTTCCTCACCTAAAAGCGTACAAATTTTGTCGGGACAAGGCCAGTTTTCTAGCACTTTTGGAGAAATGTTAAGTTGTTATTTGCTCGCGTTTGCTTTCCCGCGCAAATAGATTGTTAATTCGTTCGCCTTTTTGCTTGTAGAAAGGTGGGCCAAAAAACCAAAAAAAAGAAGAAAACGGCTGCTTTTGCAGCCGCCACAAAGGCTCTAGCTATTTTGGGGATGAAGTAGCCTACGGACATCGTCAGCTTGAAGCACGTCGGTGGCGAGCTTGGGGGAGGCCTAAACACGAAGAAGCCCACGACGACCACTAAAGCAGTTGGCATGAAAAGCGTTACAAAGCCCCAAAAGGGGCCAGCGAAAAAGTTGTCCAAGGCAATCGGAGACTCGAAAAAAAATAAAGCACCCGAGTGGCATGATGGCTAGGGCAAAGAGGTTGCCCCGCAAGCCGGTGGCCTTAAAAAAGAAGCGGCCAAAAGCTTGGCTAAGAAGAAATCTACTCTTGCTGGCAAGGCAAGTGCTGTTGGGGGGAGTAAACTTGGCTCATCCTAGTCAAAGAATAAGAAAACAGCCGAAGCGGACCAAGCTGCCGTCGACGGGCTGATCGACCAACTCCCTGACCATATTAGTGTTAGGGCCGTATTGGCTAGGGATTGCATCACCTCGTGAACATTTGTTGTCGTCAGGGACTCATCTCTTTCCCAGTGTTGGCTTTAACTTGCAGCTACACGGCGAAGGTGCCAGTAGTTCGTACCCATTTTCTTTTGCATGCTATTCTTGCTTCTTGTTGACT